TAAAACAGAGGCAAAAAAGCAAATATGCCATAATGTCACCCCAAAACCCCAAAAAGGGGTTGGAAAAAAGTATTGGCACCCCTTAATTTAATATTTGGTTGCCCCCCCTTTGGAAAAAAATTAACTGAAATCAGTCGCTTCCTAAAAACCTTTTTTTTCCAATAAGTTTCGGGACACTCTCCCCGGGGAAATTTTGGCCCAACTTTTCCCTTTTTGAAAAACAGCCCCGGGGGTCTCTCTTTTTGGGAAGGGAAACCCCTTTTTCCCCACGGGAAATTTTTAAAGACCCTCCCCAAGGGTGGTTCAGGGGGTTTAAAGATCGGGCTCATTGCGGGGCCACTTCAAAAACTCTCCAGGCTTTTTTGGGCCATCCATTTATGGGGTTTTTTTGATTTTGGGTTTGGGGTCATTGTCCGCGGGAAAGGGCCCCAGGTCTTGGAGCAAACCCAGTTTTTGACACTGGGCCCTACAGTGCGCCCCAAAAATCCCTTTTGGTTTAATCCTCAGATTTCATGATCCCTTGCCACAGTCAAGGCCCCCAGTGCCAGAGGCAGCAAAAAAAAAACCCCCAAAAACATATTGAACCTCCCCCCAAATATTTTCCCGTAGGTACTGTGTTTTGTTTTTGTAGGCCTCATTCCTTTTTGGGGTAAACTTTTAGAATGATGTGTTTTTACCAAAAAAGCTCTACCCTTGGTCTATCGCCCCAAAGGGGTTTTCCCAGAAGGCTTTTGGCTTACTCAATTTACATTTTGGAAACTGTAGTCTTGCTTTTTTATGTTCTGTGTCAGCAGGGGGGTTCCGGGGTTCCCCTTTGCATGCTTTTCTTTTTCTTTTAAAATTTGTCGACGGAAGTTCGCGCTGAAAATTATGCCCCCCTGACCCTTTGCAGGCCGCTTAAATTGTTTTTGGGAAACCTTGTTTGGGGTGCTTATCCCCCATCCGGGACTATTCTGCGTTGCAATTTTTCATAAATTTTTCCCTTTTCATTCCGCCCACGACCAGGGAGATTATACATTTCCCCTTGGGTTGAAAAATTTCTTGATAATTTTGCGCACGTGGACAAAGGAAAATCTAGTTTTTTGGGAGATGGACTTGTAACTTGAGATTGTTGATATTTTGCCAAAAATTTTTGGTTTCGGGCCCTCAGACAGTTCTCGTCTCCTCTTTCTGTTGCCCCCTGTTTTAGTGGGGGGCCCACAGACAGACACACAATAAAAAAGGTTAAGTAAACTTTCTCTCCTTTTTATCTGCTTTCGGTGTGATTTTATTTTTCCCCCCCTTTTAAACTTGCCCCAGGTGATTTTTACAGGAGCATCACTTGCTTGAAACCCATTCTTATTTTTTCCGCAGTTGTGAAAGGGTGCCAATTCTTTTGTCCTGCCCATTTTTGGAGGTTTGTGTGACATTATGTCTGAATTGCTTTCTTTCCTCCCTTTTTTGTTATGTCTCAATACTCACAAAGGGGAATAAACATGTGTATAGCAAAACATGTGTTATAATGCATTACGTTGTGAGAAATACTGGATTTCCTGGAGAATATCATGGGGTGCCAACAATTTCGGCCATATGACTGTAAGTGCATAATGAATTGCTTTGTGTGGAAGTTAAAGCGGCTACAAACTATTGGTATAGAAACTTGACTACATGCAAATATTAACACCATTTTTTTGCTATACCATCGCTAGCGCTAGTTTTTAACGGACAATTGCGCCGGGTCATGCAATACCCAGGTACATAAAGTGAAATGTACATCCATTTTTTTCCCCATAAATTGGATCTTTCTTTCGGTGGTATTTGATTGCCTGTGCAGTTTTAATTATTTGCACTATTAAAAAAGGCTGGACAATATTGAGGAAAAAAAAAAACAATATTTAGGTGACTTTTTGTCTATAAATCATGTCCAGTAAAAAAAAAATGTAAAAATCAAATTTCGTCATAAAATTATGCCAAAATGCATTCTGTGACATGTTCTGTTGCTAAAAAAAACCCAATACGTGTAAAGTTAATTGTGTTTACAGTGAATGTTATAGAGTATACAAATGCGCGGGAAAAGATACTGGGGATTTTTATATTATATATAAAAATAAACGAATGCGCGCCGCCCATCCATCGGACTTAATGGCGGTCGATCAGCGAATAAATGGCGGGCGATCAGGGGACTAAAGGCGGCGATCAGCCGACTTATGGAGGGCGAGGACAGGCTGCGGACATTCTGACATTTTGGGGGGATACTGACTTGGGGTTCAACTGACATCCCTCAGTGACACCAATACAGTGATCACTGCGACACTGATACAAATGGCACTGGGGAGGAAGGGGGTTAAAGTTTAAATTATTCCGGTGAAAAGGGGTTAACTGTGTGAGGGTGAGTGTTTTTAAACTAGGGGGCGGGGGGTGTGTACTGCAGGGAATGCTGCTGTTTGGGAGAGAGAAACTCTTCTGTCTGATCAGCGTGTCCTGGAGCTGTCAGGGAAACTGACTGAAAGCCACAGCTACTGCAGCTGTGCTCTCTGTCAGCGATTGCCGCCGATTGCCAGGACATTAGCCGGTAACGACTGGCTGTGACCTGGCGACTGACATCTCGCGGCCTCGCGTGCACCACTACCTGTTTTTAAAAAATCACATGTTTTAAAATGTGGTTTTGTGCCCAGCCATTTGCCGCCCTGCCCCCGTATGTTTCTACAGTGGCTGGGTGGCATGCGGTTAAACCATACATATTATTATTGATCTGTTCAATAAAATTATTCAGATGTTCATAGATGGCATTCAATATTATGATAATATCATCAATGTATCGCCTGTACAGCGCCATCTCTGGCCATTTGTCATAGATTCACTCTTCCTCCATTTATCCATTACCAAATTGTAGTGGATTGTAGTGGATTCATGAAAGACAGAAGTTTTCCACACAAATCTGATTTCTTTTTATGAGGAGGTGAGCAAAACCTTGGCTAGAAAGGGTGGCGGTGGGACGTGGTATACTTGGACAGAGGGGTGGCTGTAGACTTTATATACTTGGACAGAGGGGTGGGGGTGGATGTGGTTAGTACTTGGACAGAGGGGTGGAGTGCAGACTTTATATACTTGGACAGAGGGGTGGGTGTGGATGTGGTATACTTGGGAAAAAGGGGTGGCGGTGGACCTGGTATACTTGGACAGAGGAGTGGCACACTGGACGTGGTATACTTGGACAGAAGGGTGGTGCTGGGACGTGGTATACCTTGGACAGAGGGGTGGCGGTGGACGTGGTATTCTCGGACAGGGGGCTGGCGGTGGACGTGGGTTATACTTGGACAGAGGGTAGACTTGTGGACGTGGTATACTTGGACAGTCAGGGCTGGGCTGTGGATGTGGTATACTTGGACAAAGGGGGTGGGCGCTGGATGTGGTATACTTGGACAGAGGGGTGCAGTGGGTGGTAGTATATCAGACAGAGAGGTGGCAGTGGACGTGGTATACTCAGACAGAGGGGTGGCGGTGGACATGTGTATACTGGGGCAGAGAAGTGGCGGTGGACGTGGTGTACTTGGACAGAGGGGTGGCGGTAGACGTGGTGTAATTGGACAGAGGGGGTGGCGGTAGAACGTGGTATATTGAACAGAGGGGTGGTTTGGACGTGGTATAACTTGGACAAAGGGGTGGCGGTGGATGTGATATATACTTTGGACAGAGGGGTGGCTGTGGACATGGTATACTTGGACAGAGGGGTTGGCGGGGGTGGACGTGGTATACTTGGACAGGAGGGGTGGCTGTTAGACTTGGTATACTTGGACAGCGCTCATGAGGGGTTAGGGGGTGGATGTGGTATACTTGGAAAAAGGGGTGGCGAGTGGCGGTGGGGACAGTGGTATACTTGGACAGAGGAGTAAGAAGCACTGACAAGTGGGTATACTTGGGACAGAGGGGTGGTGCTGGAGGACGTGGTATACTTGGACAGAGGGGTGGCGGTGGACGTGGTATTCTGGACAGTGGGATGGCGGTGGACGAGTTGGACGTGGTATACTTGGACAGAGGGTTGACTGTGACGTGGTATACTTGGACAGAGGGCTGGGTCTGTGGATGTGGTATACTTGAACAAACGGGTGGCGCCTGGACGTGGTATACTTGGACAGAGGGGTGGCAGTGAGTGTGGGTATACTCAGACAGAGAGGTGGCAGTGGACGTGGTATACTCAGACAGGAGGGGTGGCGGTGGACATGGTATACTGGGCAGATAAGTGGCGGTGGACGTGGTGTACTTGGACAGAGGGGGTGGCGGTAGATGTGGTGTAATTGGACAGAGGGTGGCGGTAGACGTGGTATACTTGAACAGAGGGTGGTTTTTGGAGACGTGGTATACTTGGAGAAAGGGGTGGCGGTTTTGATGTGATATTACTTGGACAGAGGGGTGGCTGAGGACATGGTATACTTGGACAGAGGGGGTGGCAGGTGGACATGGTATACTTGGACAGAGGTGTGGCGGTGGACATGGTATACTTGGACAGAGGGGTGGCAGTGGACCATGGTATACTTGGACAGAGGGGCTGGTGGCGGTGGACGTGGCATACTTGGACAGAGGGTTGGCGGTGGATGTGGTATACTTGGACAGAGGGATGGCGGTGGATGTGGTATACTTGGACAGGAGGGGTGGCGTGGACATGGTTATACTTGGACAGAGGGGTGGCGGTGGACGTGGAATACTTGGACAGAGGGGTGGCGGTGGACGTGGTATACTTGGACAGAGGGGTGGCGGTGGACATGGTATACTTGGACAGAGGGTTGGCGGTGGATGTGGGTATACTTGGACAGAGGGATGGCGGTGGACGTGGTATACTTGGACAGAGGGGGGTGGCGGTGGACGTGGCTACACTTGGACAGAGGGGTGGGCGGTGGACGTGGTACACTTGGACAGAGGGATGGTGGTGGACGTGGTACACTTGGACAGAGGGGTGGCGGTGGACGTGGTGGTACACTTGGACACAGGGTGGCGGTGGACGTGGTATACTTGGACACAGTTCCCCACACATGGCTAATGTGTAAGGTAAAGTCTACAGGCTGGAAAAATCTGGATGTAAATGGATAGAAAACATGACTAAAAGATCTTATTCATTATCCGAGAGTAGTGGTTAATGATTCATACTCTGAATGGTCTGGGGGTGTCAGTGGTGTACCCCATGGTTCAGTGTTATTAGTGGGGTACCCCAAGGTTCAGTGTTATTAGTGGGGGTACCCCAAGGCTGTGTTATTAGTGGGGTACTCCAAGGTTCAGTGTTATTAATGGGGATAACCCCAAGGTTCAGTGTTATTAGTGGGGTTCCCCAATTGTTGAGTTTTATTAGTGGGGGTACCCCAAGGTACAGTGTTATTTTAGTGGGGTACCCCAAGGCCTGTGTTATTATTGGGGTAACCCCAGGGTTCAGTGTTATTAGTGGGGTACTCCAGGGGATCAGTTGTTATTAGTGGTGTAGCCCAAGGTTTCAGTGTTATTAGTGGGGTACCCCAAGGCTCAGTGTTATTAGTGGGGTACCCCAAGGGTCAATATTAGTGGGGTACCCCAAAGTTCAGTGTTATCAGTGGGGTACCCCCCAAGGTTAAGTGTTATTAGTGGGGTAACCCCAAGGCTGTGTTATTAGTGGGGGTACCCCAGGGTTCAGTGTTATTAGTGGGGTACTCCAAGGTTCAGTGTTATTAGTGGGGTTCCCCAATGTTCAGTTTGATTGTGGGGGTACCCCAAGGTACAGTGTTATTAGTGGGGTACCCCAAGGCTGTGTTATTAGTGGGGTACCCCAGGGTTCAGTGTTATTAGTGGGGTACTCCAGGGATCAGTGTTATTAGTGGTGTACCCCCAGGGTTTCAGTGTTATTAGTGGTGTTACCCCAGGTTCAGTGTTATTAGTGGGGTACCCCAAGGCTCAGTGTTATTAGTGGTGTACCCAAGGTTTCAGTGTTATTAGTGGGGTACCCCCAAGGGTCAATATTAGTGGGGTACCCCAAAGTTTCATTGTGTTATCAGTGGGGTACCCCAAGGTTAAGTGTTATTAGTGGGGTACCCCATAGGCTGTGTTATTAGTGAGGTACCCCAGGGTTCAGTGTTATTAGTGGGGTACCCCAGGTTCAGTGTTATTTGTGGGTACCCCAAGGTTCAGTGTTATTAGTGGGGTACCTCAGGGTTCAGTGTTATTAGTGGGGATATAGGGTACCCCAAGGTTCAGTGTTATTAGTGGGGTACCCCAAGGCTCAGTGTTATTAGTGGCTGTAAGCCCCTGGGGTTCAGTTTTAGTGGATGTACCCAAGGGTTCAGTGTTATTAGTGGGGTACCCCAAGGGTCAGTGTTATTAGTATGGTGTACCCCAGGGTTCAGTGTTATTAGTGGTGTACCCCAGGGTTCAGTGTTTATTAGTGGGGTACCCCAGGTTCAGTGTTTATTAGTGGGGTGTACCCCAGGGTTCAGTTGTTATTAGTGGGGTACCCCAGGGTTCAGTGTTATTAGTGGGGTTGTACCCCAAGGCTCAGTGTTATTAGTGGTGTACCCCAGGGTTCAGTGTTATTAGTGGTGGTACCCCAAGGGTCAGTGTTATTAGTGGTGTACAAGGGTTCAGTGTTATTAGTGGTGTACCCCAAGGTTCAGTGTTATTAGTGGGGGACCCCAAGGGTCAGTGTTATTAGTGGGGTACCCCAAGGTTCAGTGTTAATTTAGTGGGGGTACCCCAAGAATCAGTGTTATTAGTGGTGTACCCAAGGGTTTTCAGTGTTATTTGTGGGGTACCCCAAGGGTCAGTGTTATTAGTGGGGTACCCCAAGGCTCAGTGTTATTAGTGGTGTACCCCAAGGGTTCAGTGTTATTAGTGGGGTACCCCAAGGTTCAGTGTTATCAGTGGGGTACCCCAAAGGTTCAGTGTTATTAGTGGTGGTACCCCAAGGTTCAGTGTTATCAGTGGGGTACCCCAAGGTTCAGGGTTATTAGTGGGGTACCCAAGGCTGTGTTATTAGCGGGGTACCCCATGGTTCAGTGTTATTAGTGGGGTACCCCAAGGGTCAGTGTTATTAGTGGGGTTGGTCCCCAAGGTTCAGTGTTATTAGTGGGGTACCCCAGGATTCAGTGTTATTAGTGGGGTACCCCAAGGCTCAGTGTTATTAGGGGTGTACCCCAGGTTTTCAGTGTCATTAGTGGGGTACCCCAAGGCTCAGTGTTATTAAGTGGGTTACCACTACAAAGTTCCCCAGTGTTATAGTGAGGTAACCCCAAGTCAGTGTTATTAGTGGTGTCACCCAGGGTTCAGTGTTATTAGTGGGGTACCCCAAGGGTCAGTGGTTATAATAGTGGTGTACCCCAGGGTTCAGTGTTTATTAGTGGGGTACCCAAGGCTCAGTTGTTATTTGTGGTGTACCCAAGGGTTCAGTGTTATTAGTGGGGTACCCCAAGGGGTCAGTGTTATTAGTGGGGTACCCCAGGGGTTCAGTGTTATTAGTGGGGTACCCCAAGGTTCAGTGTTATTAGTGGGTACCCCAAGGTTCAGTGTTATTAGTGGGGTACCCCACTAAGGGTTCAGGAGTTTATTAGTGGTTTACCCCAAGGCTTAGTGTTATTAGTGGGGGTACCCCAGGGTTCAGTGTTATTAGTGGTGTACCCCAAGGTTCAGTGTGATTAGTGGGGTACCCCACAGGGTTCAGTGTCATTAGTGGGTACCCCAGGGGGTTCAGTGTTAGTGGGGTACCCCATAGGTCAGTGTATTAGTGGGGTACCCCTAAGGTTCAGTGTATTAGTGGGGTACCCCAGGTTCAAGTTCAGTGTTATTAGTGGGGTACCCAAAGGTTGCAGGAGCTATTAGTGGGGTACCACCAAGGCTCAGTGTCATTTAGGGGGGTACCCCAAGGTTCAGTGGGTTATTAGTGGTGTACCCCAAGGGTCATAGTATTAGTGGGGTACCCAAAGTTCAGTGTTATCAGTGGGGGTACCCCAAGGTTAAGTGTTATTAGTGGGGTACCCCAAGGCTGTGTTTTAGTGAGGTACCCCACTAGGGTTTCAGTGTTATTAGTGGGGTACCCCAAAGGTCAGTGTTATATGTGGGGTACCCCAAGGTTCAGTGTTATTAGTGGGGTACCCCAAGGTTCAGTGTTATTAGTGGGGTACCCCAGGGTTCAGTGTTATTAGTGGGGTACCCCAAGGGTTCAGTGTTATTAGTGGGGTACCCAAGGTTCAGTGTTATTAGTGGGTACCCCAAAGGTTATTAGTGTGTTTCAGTGTTAGTGGTGTACCCCAAGGGTTCAGTGTTATTAGTGGGGTACCCCAAGGGTCAGTGTTATTAGTGGTGTACCCAAGGGTTCAGTGTTATTAGTGGGGTACCCCAGGGTTCAGTGTTTATTAGTGGGGTACCCAAGGCTCAGTGTTATTAGTGGTGTACCCCAGGGTTCAGTGTTATTAGTGGGGTACCCAAGGGTCAGTGTTATTAGTGGTGTACCCAAAGGGTTCAGTGTTATTAGTGGTGTACCCCAAGGTTCAGTGTTATTAGTGGGGGACCCCAAGGGTCAGTGTTATTAGTGGGGTACCCCAAGGTTCAGTGTTATTAGTGGGGGGTACCCCAAGAATCAGTGTTATTAGTGGTGGTACCCCAAGGGTTCAGTGTTATTAGTGGGGTACCCCAACAGTGCCTTGGGGTACCCCAAGGTTAACACTTAACCTTGGGGGGTACCCCCACTGATAACACTGAACTTTGGGGTACCCCACTAATATTGTGACCCTTGGGGGTACCCCACTAATTTTTAGGTTAACACTGAAACCTTGGGTACACCACTAATAACACTGAACCTTGGGGTACCCCACTAATAACACTGAACCTTGGGGTACACCACTAATAACACTGAACCCTGGGGTACACCACTAATAACACTGATCCCTGGTTACCCCACTAATAACACTGAACCCTGGGGTACCCCACTAATAACACAGCCTTGGGGTACCCCACTAATAACACTGTACCTTGGGGTACCCCACTAATAAAACTGAACATTGGGGAACCCCACTAATAACACTGAACCTTGGAGTACCCCACTAATAACACTGAACCCTGGGGTACCCCACTAATAACACAGCCTTGGGGTACCCCACTAATAACACTTAACCTTGGGGTACCCCACTGATAACACTGAACTTTGGGGTACCCCACTAATATTGACCCTTGGGGTACCCCACTAATAACACTGAGCCTTGGGGGTACCCCACTAATAACACTGAACCTTGGGCTACACCACTAATAACACTGATCCCTGGAGTACCCCACTAATAACACTGAACCCTGGGGTACCCCAATAATAACACAGTGCCTTGGGGTACCCCACTAATAACACTGTACCTTGGGGTACCCCACTAATAAAACTCAACATTGGGGAACCCCACTAATAACACTGAACCTTGGGGTACCCCATTAATAACACTGAACCTTGGGGTACCCCACTAATAACACAGCCTTGGGGTACCCCACTAATAACACTGAACCTTGGGGTACCCCACTAATAACACTGAACCATGGGGTACACCACTGATACCCCCAGACCATTTAGTATGAATCATTAACCACTACTCTCTGAATAAGATCTTTTAGTCAGTTTTCTATCCATTTACATCCAGATTTTTCCAGCCCATAGACTTTACCTTACACATTAGCCATGTGTGGGGAACTGTGTCCAAGTATACCACGTCCACCACCCACCCCTTATTCCATCGGCAATACGTCCAGTTCCTCATGGAGAGGGGCTACCAATTCCTAAAGCACCAGAATCCTTCGTGGTTGAGTCAAGTGAGGAAGAACCTGAAGCGTGTAGTCACGTGCAGTTGTAAGAGATAGCCCTTTCCTCAAATACAAGAGAAAAGCCAAGAGAAGCAAAACCGACACAAACTGAAGACAAAACTAGTGAGAATCCGAAGTATTATTAAATGATTCAACTTAGCTTATGGCTATAATTTTTCTTGGTAATCCTATGCAATATATTATGCCATTTAGGCTTTGTTATGTATCAATATCACTTGCTTTATATTTGTGGAAAGACATCTATCTATATAATTATTGTGCATTATGTAGTCATTACGCCTATAGTAGAAAACTTTCCGTTTACAGAAAAACTAGAGCCAATTGACAAATTTCATTGTTATATTTGAACTCAGAATGTGAAATT